TCCGCAACGGAGAATGAAAGCGGCGGGCGCCGCGGTGAGCCCGTGAGCCCGTGAGCGGCGTGGGGCGCGCGCGGCTTTCGCTCGCGGGGACGCGGTGTTACCGCCGTGCCCATGTTCGACCGGCGATCGAACGTCGCAATCGGTGGCCGCTCCTGCTGACATTCTAGCCGCAGGGCGCCTCATCAGCACCGACAACGAACCACGCTCTGGATCTAGACTAAATGTCGTGTGTCTGGCTGGAGTCACACCAGCGGCAGCCCAAGCTGCAGGCAGCGGAGGTCGACCCCGCGGGCCCGCGGGCGGCTCCAGTCAGCTTCGCACCCGCGTCGCTTATGCCAGCCCAGCCCCACCCGTCCCACCAGGCTCAGCAGGGCCTCGGGGGCGTGGCGCCGGTGAAGGGTGCTCGGCCGGAGAGCTGATAAGATTGCCCGGCGCTGTCGGCGGGTGGCCTTCCCCTCGCGCCCGCCGGAGGAAGCGCCGCCGCCCCGCCCATAGCCGCTTACTTCCGACCTCACCTCACACGGCGCACCAGCCACGGCCGTCTGTTGCGTCGTTCTGGTCTTGCGAACAACGTGGACTCGTGTCCGGCCCAGCCAAAGGGCCGTGCTCGCGGCCACAGCAGAGGGATGTGAGGGCCGTACACGGGCTCCCCCGGCCGACACACACACTCACACACACCATTACCGTGGGAGAACGAGGTCTGCCCGCCTCGCTCTGCCACTTCCCTACCGGCCTACAAAGGAAAATAGGCCTGACCTCCGGTTTATTTATTTTGAACCGCGATAAAATAATTTCGATGACCTTTCGACGTTTCTGTCTGTGAACTTCTGTCATAGCCCGTAAATTTCTCTGAATTTTCATGAATTTCTAAACGAATAAAGATGTTTAGAAAAGTAGCTCAGAAAAGTTGCCCAGAGAAATTGCCCGGAGAAGTCACAACTCACTCAGCAAAGTTGCCCTGACAAAGCTGCCCAAAACAATTATTTGACAAGGAAAGTTGTTTAGGGACGGCGCTGACAAAAGTCACCGTCGCCGTGGTTCGTTCAGGTTTCTCCGCGTTTCTCTGTTCAGCCGTTTACACGGAGATGAGCTCGGTCATTGACAAGCCTTCGTCCCCTCTCATGCCGGAGGCTTATTCGCAGGTTCGCGCGAAGCGGAGTTCTCAGACTCGCCGGGAGTTGCACGACGCACGGCACGCGGTGAAAACAAGACAATTAAATCGGAAAGTGAGTGGCACTGCAGGGCGTGGCACTGCAGGCAAGTGGGGCTGCGGCTGTGGGGGGCTCTGCCCGTTTCGTACTTCCCTCTTCTTGTAATTGGACTCCTTTCCCCCCTCCTCCTCCCCCGCCCGCCTCGCCGTGAGCAGCTCATTGCGGCGCGCCCACTGCCGCCTCTGGACGTCTCGCGGACGCATTGTCTCCCCAGCCGCGGGCCCGTGGGGTGGGCCCGGGCGGTAAAGCGTGGGAGATGTGCTTCTAATTCTGCTACCGGAACTGCGCGCGGCGGCGAAAGTGGAAGGGGGCTATTCTCTCACATTAACGATTCCACTCCCGAAAATAACCGCCTATGGTCGCGCCGGAGCCGTCAGCAGGGCTATCACGGGGGCAGCCCGGGCCATCACCTCCGCCTGCCAGTCACGCGGGTGCGGGCGCGGGCGCGGGCCGCGCGCTCGGGGCTCACAGGGGTACTCCCCTGGTTCAGGCCGCCTCCGCCACCGCTCTGATTGTGATGAAGAGCCGGGTCAGGAAGGTCCCGCTCGCGCGCCGGTCCGCCGGAGACGAACGGATCGAACGGAACGGCGCACCACCCGAACGGCGGGGCGCGCGGCGCGGCGGGGAGGAGCGCGGGGCAGGCCGACCAAGCCATGCAAAGACGGCCAGCCAGCCTGACCTGATTGCACGCGGGCCTCGGAGGAGAAAGTCATCGGCCGCCGCGGCGTCAACCGGCGTGCGTCCTGGCCTCCCCGCCGCCCCCGGGCGCAGCGCACTGCACACACCACACCACCACACTACCCCTCGGCACTTCGGCGGGCGCGTGCGGCCCGTTGTTCGGCCCTCGCGCGTAAATACTGTCCCCCTCACAGAGGTTCCCGTTACTGGCCCCGGGGCGCTCCGGGCGGCGGCGCCAGTCGCAAGACTCCGGAACGACAGCGACGACAACGCCGTTGTTTTCTTACGCGCCTCGCATTCCGCAGCCGCGCGCCACGCTCGGCCGGCTGGTCCGGGGTCGCTCCGGAGGGGATCGGATCGCCCACGCTCACGCTCGTCTCCGCTAGCTCGCGCGGCCGAATCCTCCGTCAGCGGCGCCCCGCCTGAGATCCCCCCGCGGCCCCCTCCCCTGACCTACCCGCCGCGACCCGCCGCGCAGCTGCGCCGCTGGCCCTGGTGGCCCCAGGGGGGCCGCCGCGGTGAACTCCAAGGCGTGCTATGTGGCCTACTGACATGAATCGGCATGACTCGCCCCGCTCTTGCTGGCTCGCGGGGAGGGCAGGAGGGGAGGGGGTCCTCGTCCTCGCAGCAGCCGGTGTACGCAGTGCACAAGAGAGGGGAGGAAGGCAAGTACATAGGCCTCGGCCGGTTCCACGGAGGTGGCCGTGCAGGAGTCTGCCGGTCCGGTGAGGTCTATCCCGCCTGCTCCCCGCCGCGCGCGAGCCAAGAAGAGGTCGCGAGTGGGCCCCAAGCTGGGCCCCGGCCGCCACCCACTGGGCCTCCATACAGGGAGGGAGAGGCCCGCGGTCGGCCCACGCCCCGCCCCGGCCTTGCATTGCAGTGCTCGCGCTTTGACTCGCCCTCCCGTTCACCGGCCGCGAGGGCCGCCACGTCTGGAGCGGCCCGCAACAACCATCAGGTCTCAGAAGTTTATCGTTTCGTATGCGTGGCGCCCGGTAGCGTACAAGTACAGTACTTGACTAGGTACGGGACCGAATGTTTAGGAGGGTGCACGACAACAGACTTTTCGGTGTCCGTCAAACAACAGTTTTGGTGCGCGATGGAGAATATTTTCTCCCTGTGGGGCGCCAGGGCACAGATAGGAAGGCGCCGTCGAGCCCAGCCTGGGCTCCGCGTGGGGGTCGGCGGCGGCCCCTCTCCCAGGCTCGCGCCTATCAGCGGGTCCTGCGCGGACCTGCCGGGCCCCCGCCACACACAGGACAGGGCACTCCAAGGTGCTTCTAATCGCGGCGGCCGGCCCCGCCACCGGTCCAATGATGGGGCCCGACCCCGCGACCCCAGCGGAGAGGGCAGCCCTGGCCGGGGCGCTCGCGCGACAAACCGGTGGGGCTCGTTGACAATCCCCTCCACTCCCTCCACCAGCCCCGGGGCCCGAGGCCAAACCCTGCACGATGCCGAGTACTGTACACTCCAACGTCTTGTTCGAAATGCAGTACACAGGCACACAAACACATATGCCCCACTCCTTTCTCACATACACACACGCGCGTCTGATCTGTTCCGCTGAAGCACATTTCCAGTCAGCTTGTCGCAATACCTCTCTACGGCGACAAGCCCATCGAAGTGAACTGACGCCGCCGCTTGTCTGTGCCAAGAAACCAGGATTATTGAATTTATTTATGTGTTTGCTTTCTACCGAGCCGCGAGTTGTTGAGCGACTGGAGGTTGAACCGTCGGAGAGGCGCAGCGTCCTCGTCCTGCCCTGTCAACCCATGGAGCGACCGAGAGCGACCGAGTTCATTCCAGTTAGTCCCCCCCCCCCTCGCCCTCGGCGCGGCACCACTTCTACCTCTTCTTCTTGCCGCTGCTTTTTCCTGTCCAAAGAACATCGCGGCTCTTCGATCCATTTCCGATCGACAGAGGGGAAGAAAATGACGACGGCGGCCAGCGAGCGCGCCGCGAGCCGCGAGCTGGGTAGACTTGAGGTGAGTGGATTCTAGAGCAGCGCGGGGCGTGGTGGGGCGCAGCGGGGCCTTCCAGTGGAGCGTGGCCTCCACGCCACGCCGCGCCGCACTCAGTCAAGCCCGACGTCGTCGTCCGAAGCAAGCCGTCGTCATGCCTGCTCGGGGTTCGTGGCTCGTCCCGGCTGGCATGAGGACTCGGGCCGCAGCCGCACATGACGTATACTCCCCGGCTGCAGTCGGATGGTACTTTCTATGGAGAGATCTCTTCCGTTCATACTGGGCATCGCGGGAATCCAGCTTGAAGGAGTAGGAAAAAGTACTCTGGCTGCAGGACTCTCGACCGTGTTGGTGGAAACGTCGGTAGTACCGAAACAGTGCAGGGTACAGAGTAAGAGAGGGGCGGTGCATCGGCCGTGCACCCACGCCCGGTGCTGCACGGCGCACAGAGCTCCTTCACGGCGCCTTCCGGAGGCTCGGCTCAGTTCATCATCCTGCCGCACGCCCCGCACGCCCCGCACGCCCCGCACGCCCCGCACGCCCCGCACGGCGCCGCACCGTGACAGTTTTCGTGAGATTGCGGGACGTGGTTGGTTACGATAATTACCCCCCGGGACCAGGAGGCTACGAGACCGACGCGGCGGCACGGCGCTCGAGGCTCGGCGGTGCTCTTGTGCTTCCTCGAGGCGGCGCCGCCGGTTGGGCGCGCGGTCCGGCACCGGCACGGCAGGCGGAAGGAAGAAGGGAAAGGGACCGGCACGCGTGACGCGCGCACGGGGCTTGCTGGCCCTGCTGCGATGAGCGGCAGCGAGTCCAAGGACTGGGCGTCGGCGTCGTCAGCGGTAGAGTCGGTGATTCCGCAGAAAAGGAAGAAGACAAGGCGGCCGCGCGGCCGTACATGTGCACGCGGCTCGGCTCGGCCCTCGGCCCCACCCCACCGTGCGGGTAACGAGCGAGTTCCGGTCGGCCCTCGCGAGCGCGTTGAATAAGTTGCCTAGCCTCCTGGAGCGGGCGGCGGTCGGTCGGAAGAGTCGAATGGGTTGCCTATCGCTCAGGCGCATCTCGCTGCTCAGTTGTAGAGCGAAGCTGCTGTTTCGCGTAGATTACGAGTTTCGACCTCGCTAGGTCGGATTTCGATCCATCCACTTACCTGGCACAGTTTCGCCGTTGAACTTCATCTCTACGACGTGCGTCAGCAGCTCGTGTGGCACGAAGGAGGCGCGGAACCTCTGGTTGCCCAGGGTGCGCACCGAGCTCGTCACGTGGCCGCCGTTCACCAGGATCTCCAGGTTGCCGGAGCCAGCGCCCGAACCATCGACTTGAAGAGAAAACGAACGTTGGGGGCTCGATGCGGTTTCGTTTCGGGATAGCCGTCGATTCACTTTTCTGATACTCACTCTCAAACTCAACTGGTTGGCCCAGGACACCGTTGGGGATACGCCCCACCTGAATGGCGCGAGCGTTGTAGGCGTGCGTGCGGAATGGGGCGCCGCGGACCTGCTCACCCCGGACGTGCACGTCCACGACGTGCTCGCCCACCTCGTTGGCGGTGAATGTGGCCTCCAACAGCTCGCGGCGAGCGCCCCGAGAGAGGCGTACGGGCACGGAGCGGCGGGAGGGCGCTGGGGGCACAGTGAGAGCGGCGATGACGATCTGGAAGAGCTGAGGAGCTGCAGGAGGCCCTCTGCTGCCCCAACCACCCATACTCACACAGAATCTCGACGACGACCTGGCTGGGGTCTGCGGCGGGGTGGCCGTCGAAGGACGTGTCCACGGTGAAGTGCGCGGTCCGGTGCACGGAGACGAGGCGCAGGGCGTCGCCGTGCACGGGCGCGTCCAGGTCGTCGGGGTGCGGCGAGGGCAGCGGCGAGGCCATGCGCTTGGCGTTCACGTGGTCGACCTGGTGCTGGGTGACGACGCGCTTCGACAGCCCCGAGGACTGCTGCTGCTCCCGGGTTATCAGGTTAGCTGTTAGGCGGGGGAGTGAGTGAGTGAGTTAGCAAGCCTTACCGACGAGCTGGCATTAGCATGACTGAGGCTGTAATTCCGCTCCCTTATTTGCTTTGCACTGCTTTTGCACGTCGGTAACGGGGGGAACGCTCGCCCGCGGGGGGCGAGCGCGAGTTAGTGCGAGATTTCGCGACTGGAGGAGGATTCTACACCTGGAATTCAGCACCAGAAAACAGACGTGAATGGAGGACCCGTTTCGAGAGACAATAATAAAGAAATACAAAAACGATGGTAAAGAGAGTGGTCGGCATTCTAAACGCGCGCGTATCAACGAAATCGAGACCTTAAACGGAATTACAGCCGGATAATAACAGAAGGTGGCTTTGCCGGGCTTTGCCATGCACGTACAGGAGGAGTACTTGTCCTCGAGAATCCCCGTGCTTGACTGCTGCTGCGACTTGTACGCCACGTCCCTGTTGTCCCACGAGCCCCGCCGCTGGCTCAGGATCGACGACACTGCAACACACACGGTGCACAGAAGGACAAGGTCAGTTACGAACAAAAGACAACAGGGTAACGGGGCGGGGTGCGGGGCGGCACGGGGGAGACCAAGGCGGCCGCGGGCGCGGGGTCCCTCCATAAGAAAGACCCGCGACAGAAGCAGGACAGGCGTCACCGGTTACCCCATAACCATGAAGCCGTAAGCTCGATCCCCGACCGGACCGGACCCGGCCGTATTTGGCGCGCTCCGCCACCAGGCGGCGTCAAGCCAATCCCACAACCATACCGGCCCCGCCCCTGGGGGTTAGTCCACCCAACGTACACCAAAGCTTCGCGCCCGGCCGCCCACCCACCGCAGCAGGCGCGCCTCCGCAGCGCTCGCACGTCACGTACCTCGTGTGTTCTCCGTCCTCTTCTCGGACACGCCGTTGAGGTGGTAGGAGGGAGACAGCAGGCTGGGGCTGGCGGGACTCGCCCTCAGCGGGCTGGACGCTCGGTACAGGGCGGGGGAGGGTGATGGCGAAGGGGAGGGTGATGGCACAGGTGAGGGGGAGTGGCGGTAAGGAGAGGACCGCCCGTTGAGCAGGCTGTCCGTGATGTGCGCCCGGCTCAGACCCGTCTCGAGAGACGACGTTTGTCTGCTCTCTGTAACACCATATGGACGCTGGTAAACACAAGCAATCCTCAAGGGGGGAGTTGCCTAAAAAGGCAGCTGTCGTACCTGTGACGTAGTCTGACTTGAATTTGCTGCTGCTATTGTACTTGCTGTCATAGTCTGACTTGTACCGGCCCGAGTCGACGTAGTCTGTCGTCCTGTACTTGGAGTCGTACTTATTGCTGGACGACTTGTAGTCGGACTCGAAGGCGTCTGTCTTGTAGGCACTGCTGGACTGGTAAAGATCCAAGTCCGGGGAAGGTGAGGAGAGCTTGAACGTTGGCGAAGTGGCAGACTCCACGAGTTGAGGGGACTTGAGCTGCTCCCGTTCTTCTAAGTCTGGAAGAAGTGGGCATTGGAGGTCAAATCATGCGCAATTGTTCTTTAGCTAGTACTAAACATGAAAACTGAGAATATAGTCTCACTTGCTCTGATGCGTTCCTTCTCTCGTGACCGCTGTGTCCCTACCCGGAGTGGGAACGGGCTTCCTGCAAAGGCACAAGCGTCAGTGGTGGCTCCTCGGCGGCCACAATGACAAGAAGTGTGCTTTACGATGGAGACTCACCGCGAACGTCCTGGCCGTTGAAGTAGACGTAGACGCGGTACTTGCCCGCGCGGCCCGTGTTGAGCGTGACGCGGTACAGCGAGGCGCCCAGGTGCTCCACGTGGTGGGGGATGGTGCGCCGCTCGTGCACAATGTCCAGCTCCACGTCGCCGAGCCCGCCCGTGGCCGTGGTGTCCAGCACGAAACTGAAGGGCGCGTGAGGTTGGGCGCCGTCCATGTTCTCCAGCTAGGCAAGGTGGGGGTGTAACTTTTGGGGCCGAAAGGGAAAGGGGGGGGGAGGGCGACGTTGGGTAACACGGGACTAACCTTGATGCCGTTGGGGTCGAAGACGAAGCACGTGAAGGGCCCGCCCTGTATGTGCTGGCCGCCGTGCATGACCCCGATGGTCCACTCGCCGGCCTCGTCGGGCTGGAAGGTGGCGCTGTGCACGCCCCTGTTCTCGTGCACCGGGCAGTCCAGCTCGCGGCCAGTGGGCGAGCGCGCCACCACGCTGATCTCGTTCGTATTCGTTCCGTTCGAATTGATCTGCAAACACGCGAAGGCGACGCTCGCTATTACTGAGACGGCATGTCCTCAAACCAGTCGTGGTGGGTCTCTGAGCGAGGAAGGAGTACCCACCAACACCTCGACGATGGAGCCGACGGCGCAGGGCTCCATGCCGGTGTGCTCGATGCTGGTGAGCTCGGGCATGGCTCTGTAGTGGATGGGCGACCCCTTGACGGCCTCCCCCTCGTGTTTGATGATGACCTGGAGGGGAGAAACATGAACAGTGCTGATCACGCACTACTGATACGTACGGGGAGGAAAGGAACCAAGCCAAGTGTCTGAGACTCTACCTTGTGCATGCCGACTCTGACTGGTATGAAAGTTCCGGGGCCTCCCCGGGGACCGAGGTTCAGACGGCAGTCAACTTTGCTGCCACCGGGACCTACAACCTCGACGGACACCTCCCTCGGGTCGATGTCATCCTCCAGGAACTCGATCTTGAAGTGTGTCTGGAACAAACGGGGCAATCGGGTGATCGCGACGAACGTCATCAAGTGCAAGGCGGCGTGCGCGGCCCGACCGGTCCGACCCGACTACGCGACCCACCTGTTGGTCCACCCGGGTGTGGTGCGAGTCGGCCGACGCGACGATCCTGTCGCCGGGCTTGGACCGCGGCCGGACCCACTGAAAGTTGGCGGCGTAGGCCATGACGCCCAGGTGCTCCACCTCCTTGTTGGCCATGTCCTTGGCGCGCAGGATGGGCTCCACCCCCAGCCGTTTGCCGCCCTGGATGCCTGCGTGGACGGGCGGTACGAGAGAGGGTTAGTCGCATGATAACGGTGCGTGGCCTGCGTCGTGGGCCGCCGGCCCGCCAGGGCCAGCAGGGCGCCCGCAGCGCCTACGCGCCTCACCTGCATTCAGGTTGCTCTCCCAGCTGTCGGGGTCGAAGGCCATGTCTTTGAAGCCGGGCACGGGGCCGCCCATGGACTTGACGAGCGTGCAGAGCGCGCGGCCGTCGTTCCAGTCTCTCTGCGGGCAGGGCGACGAGGGTCAGTCGAGAAAACAAGGGGGGCAAAGGGGCGAGGGTGCCGGCGACAAACGGAGGGGCGACTCACGGTGAAGTTTCTGACGGGGGCCTGCGGGATCTGGTTGTTGACCCAGCGGAGGGTGGCGTGGAAGCCGGGCGAGTTCTCCTTCATGAAGTACGACAGGTAGGTCATGCCGGAGAGCTCGTCCAGGTACGGTGAGGCGAGGTACTCCGGTTCCAAGACCATGGGGATGCTGAACTCGCGCCGGGCGATCTCCATGGCTGTTCGGCAGTTCTCCACCCTGTGACAGACGGAAAGAGCAAAGGATCAGTCTCCGTGCTACGCGAGCAGTGGTAGGCCCTGGGCAGGCTCCCTCGTGCGCGGTGGGCTGTGGGCTGTGCGACGGGTCAGCAGGCCCCGTCCACGTCCAGCTCCGCGCAGACGTGCGTGAGCGGCTTAAGTCCGCGCGCCTATTCTTCCAGGAGTCATAAAACGTCTCGACTGGCGCCACTCAAGCACGCCGGAGCAACGTGGCGCGCTACGCGCGGTCGCAGGCCGGAGACGTTCCCACGGATAAGGACTTTTTTTAAAATAATAAAAACCTTATCTCGCGATCGTCAGGAGGAACACAAACTGTTGCTACACCTCAACGCACTCGTTGAGTGTGTGAGGGAAGAAGGCTAAAAGTAAGAAGCACTCACCTGTCCGAGGGGTCCAGGACCTTCCAGTGAGGGAACAGACCCGGCTTGCAGTAGTCCAGCAGGGCGCTGAGGGCCAGACCCGAGTTCCAGTCGGAGGTGAAGTTGTCGACGCGGCATTCTGGCAGCGCGGCCTGCAAAGCGAGAGGAAGGGGCGTTATAGCGGCGATAACAACAACAACACAGCACTGAGACGGGTCGGAGACAGGCCTGCGCCCCGGAGGTAGGCATTCCAATCGACACCTCCCGCCCGCCGCTCCGCGCCACCACGCTCCGGCCGCACACGCCGGTTTAGTGTGAGAAGGGGAAAACACGAAAAGGCAAATGAATTAATTGTAGTAGCGGGACGACGTATCTCATCTCATCCTCATCCCCAGCCTTGGCCGAGCCCGAGCACAGGTAATTGGAGACCAGAGCAGAGCGGGAGAGCGCTGCTCGCAGTGGCAGCGGGAAGGACCTTGACCAGGCAGCCGGCACGGCCCGGCCATTTGAAAGGGAGATGAGATTGTGTGATCCCGATCTTGTTAGGCTTCGCGCCGCCCGCGCCCGCCGCGACTCGGAGATGGGAGCGCGAGGCGCCGCGGCTCCGGCCGCCAGGGCCCAGCATCAACACAAGTGACAGCGGGGGGCAGGGCGGGTACGGGCGTCAAAACGCTCGTCCAGGACAGCGGCGTGCAGTCTACCCGGCCGTCTTTCTATCTCAATGTTTCAGTATGATTACTGTCGGGGATCGACTGGGATTTCGAACGGGCTGTACGAAGTTAAGCATGAGCGGGTTTTTTGCAAGAGCTGAAGAAGACTGTGTTTTTCCATCCTTCGCCCCGAGACATAGAAGGTCGACTGTCGAGTGGCAGCGCAGTGCCAAGAGCGCATTGTTAAATTCCAGTTCCGCAAAAGACCGTGAGACGCCCTTTTAAAGGCAGTTAGGGTCATGAGCCGGCTCCGCTGCGGGCGGGGCGGCGGGGCGGGAGCGGGGGCGCGCCCGGGGCTGGTCGTGCGTTCAGCTCCCCGGGCCGGCCGGCTGCTGCGGCGAGTCAACGCACCCGCAGCCCGCACCGTCTTCATTTAAACGACGTCGCGCCGGCGCCGGCCAGCGGCGGCGGGGAGGGGGCAGGGCTGAAGGGGGGCGGGGGAGGGCGGCCAGCAGGGCGCCAATGGCGCGCCTCTTCCGGTCCAGCCGTGGCCTTGGCGCCGCGACGCTGCTCGGCGGCGGCGCCACTTCGTCCGCGCCGCTCGGGACGGCCGGGACGGACGCGGCGGCCCCAGCTGCCCGTCGTCCCCCTGCTCGGCCAGCAGCCGCGCCCCACGCCCCCCGCGCTCGCGGCCGGGGACGGCGGCGCCGATGTGACAGACACGGCGCAGCCCCACGCCGCCGCTGGCCGTTAAGCCCGACGCCCCTCATCACCATACAACGGGGCGCCAGGCCGAGACGCCGGCGCGGGGATGACGTCACCCGCCGCGACGCCCCGCGAGAGGGGCCTTCCGGAGGGGGCGGCGGCTGCATCGTATGGGGGATTTAGAGGAGGGAAGACCGTGAAGACGCGGACGGAAGTGAAGATGAAGACGACTACCAAGCTCTCAAGCCCTCTCCTTGGTTTGTACTCCAGATCATCAACAAGCACAACAAGGATGTACTTGATTGAGTGAGCCCCGTGATCTCTGCTGCCTGACCGTTTTCAAAAGAGTACTCCTTTATCGGGAAAGTCATGACAAAACCCACGAAGACATTGCATTACACATTTTGAAACACACTTGATAAATAATGCGTTGACATTCTTAACAATTTGTTCTGAAATGAGGAAAAGAAAGGAAAGAGCTACAGGGCGGCCCACGCCACGTAGTCTCCACCCGCCTCCACCCCAGACCAGCTGGACCCCTGCCGGCCTCAGGATAGGCCACCCGCCCAAGGGGGCTGCGACCTGTTTGCCTAACTACCGGGCGCTATCACCAAACGACATAAAAGACTCTTGATTATTTAGCTTCAACACTCTTCAATCTTTTCTCTCAAGAAACCATACACCTCTTTTGGGATACAAATCATAATTATCCGCGCGAGACTGTCTCGAACGTGACAAAATAAACCTTTCTTATTTAGGCTCTAAGTGTAAAACTTTATCAATTCGTTGACGAAACCAGTGTATTAAGATCGTGGATGTGTTTCACGTCTTCCTCTCTACTAGACCCCTTCTGCTGAACCGTTATCACCACTCTCACAAAGCATGTGCTCGCGGCAGGCTATCACTGCGGCCAAAGGGGCAGTGCAAGGCACTCAAACTGGATCTCAGCCTCGACGCACCACGCACAGTTGTAACGGCCGCCCACCCACGCCTCTCGGCGGAGTGCACCCCGCCCCCTCTCCGCACCGCTCCGCCCCGCCCCACACCTCCTCCAGCCGCCGGCCGGCCGGCCGGCCTACATTTTGCGGCGCGGCGTGCGTACCGTGCTGTGCCGTGCCGCGTGCCGTGCCCTGGCATTGCACGCACTCGCGGCCCGCGCTTGGCACGCCGCCGCCCCCCGCACCACCCATTCAGATTGCGCCCCGAGTGGCTATGCCCCGTTGTCGATTTAATAAGTACGGCTCGATCTGTCGCGGCGCGCCGCCCTCCACCCATGATCGGCGACGTGCGGCCGTGGCGGCCCGCGCCGCGCAGCCATATGGCGCCAAGGGACTCGCTGCAGCTGCACTGCACGCTGCGTGGCGCGCTCGGCCCCACCGACCCTGGCCTGGCTACACGGAAGCACGTCCCGCCCCGGCCGTACGTTTCCACGTCGTCATCCCCGTCATTCATCACTGCAAAGAAGAGGGACGCCCCTAGCGCGTACAGCGACCTCCGCCGCCCCGTCGCGCCGCCGCTCATCTGCGTCAAACCGCGACAGTCCGTGCGACCCGCGCGCGGCGCCCGGAGTCGGGACAGCCCTCCGCCACGGCTCCCGGGTGCGGGGCTGACATGAGCACAGAAAACAGCGGCGTAGAAACGCGCTAAACGGAGTGACCCCCGCGGATGAATGCACAGCTTGTGCCACTGGGGCTTTGCGTACAGCGGCGACCTCCGCCCGGGACGTCGTCATTACGAGTGTGTGTGTGTGTGTGTGTGTGTGTGTGTGTGTGTGTGTGTGTGTGTGTCTGTGGAACCGCAACCTGCATAATTGGCGGCTCACTTAGCCCCCCCCCCATACCGTCCTCTCTGTACTGTTGCGACAACGCCCATCAGCGCGCGTGTTCCTACATTTGTTTGTCCGAGGGCCCCCTCCCTCACCCCTCGTCCCTAGCCCCTCCCCCGGCCCACGGGGTCCACACCCACTGATGTCGGGCCGAGCCGGCGGCCGGGGCGGTGCGGCGCGGCTGCTTAGCATACTCGCTACGATTGTAATGTCGGGGCGGGGCGGCGGCGAATCACTTCCCCGTCAGTCCACCTCCCCCTGCAATGGGCGCCTGCTGACCCCGCAGGGGTGGCGATGGCAGCCGGGTGCCGAGGTGCCAGGAGCCGGGTGTCGAGGTCCCGAGGTGCCGAGGTGCCAAGCGCCGCCGGGTGCCGAGGTGCCAAGAGCTGGGTGCCGCGAAGTACCGGTGCCGAGGTGCTAGGAGGAGGGTGCTGAGGTGCCAAGCGCCGCCGGGTGCCGAGGTGCTAGGAGCCGGGTGCCGAGGTGCCAAGCGCCGCCGGGTGCAGAGGTGCCTGTCTCCCACACACGGGATGGCGCGCCACCTCTCCGCCGCGACGCCGCTCCCCGCCACGCCCCGCTCATTAGTGCCGACAGCAGAAAGTTGAAAAGCAAAATGGCGGGTTACGGCCCCCTTGATGGCCGATGTGTTCTAGGCGCGATGCACGTGAGAACCAGGCGGCGGCGGCGGGCGCGGGGAGGCCGCGGGCCGGCGGGCGCGCGGGAGCAGCGCCGCCGTGCACCGGGGACGGGGTGGGTGTCGGCCACCCCCTGGTTGACGAGCACCAGGACCTTAGTCACGGTACCACAATAACAAGACGCTTATAGACCCACTGTTGGCGGGTGCTCGGTCAGACTCTACTGTGCAGTCTCGACAGGACAAATGGTGACCAAACAGAATGGGTTTTGGACTCGCTTGTTTGCCCCCCCCCCAGCCCCCAACCTCCCAGCGGCCCACTGCAAACAAATGAATGGCGTCGGAGCGGAACCATACGCGCACGCTCACGCAGGGGGGCGTAGAGGTAGGGCCGCGCGGCCTGGCCGTGAACTTGGCGCTCGCAGATCTTGACCTGGCTGGAATGTCCTGGCCCGCCGCGGCCGGGACGGGCGTGCACGCCGTGGGCACGCTACGCGCCGGCACGCTACGCCCCGCCACGGCGCGGCGCAGAGCGCTGGCGCTGCGTCCGGAGTCAGCGCCGCGACGCCGCGCCGGGGCTCCGGGTGAGCTCGCGGCGGAGCTCGGAGGGGTGCCCGCCCGCACGCAGCCGCGCCACCGGGCTACGCGGCCAGCTCACGCGAGCTCCGCAGGGGGGCGGGGATGGGGCGAGGGGAGTCGCTCCGCCCGCTTTTAGATGCGCAGCCACGTACTCGATGCGGCGGCGGTGAAAATTCAAATCAAGCCGTGTAACGCGTGCCCTGCCCGCCACGCCTTAGGGAGGGTACGATTCCCTGTCTCTCTGTCTCCAGGACTCTGTTGCTAGCTACGGTACTCACCCTGAGCCACGCGAGCATGAGCTTCTTTGGCGGGAATTTCGATCGTCCGATCTGGTAGCGGACGATGAGGGACCAGATGAGGCCCAGGATTAACTTGAGGTTGCCGTTGACTATGTCGACATTTCCTGGAACAAACGAGAACGGCGTAAAGTACAATGACGTGTCCAGCCGGCAGCGACAGCACACAGGCCGGCAGGCAGTGCTCCTAGCCCCGTCACCGACTTGAACCTGGGTGGGACACCCCTCTCCTCCTCTTCCCGTTCATTCACATTGTTTCCGCCATGCCTAAGATCGCTGCGTCAACGCCCGCCCCCCGGGCCGGCCCTGCCCTGGCCAGGCCGCGGAGGCGAGCAGAGCGCCGCAAACACAACATGACAGCACTGTACAATTCCCGGGAAGCGTTTTAACGTCGCCGGGCTGAGTCACTCCGCGGGACCTGCACGCGTCGGTCCTGGCGAGCTCTCATGCACGGTGGTCTGACGGGCGTGTCCTTCCCCCCTCTCCTCACCACACCTGCTGATTGAAGGCTCGCGGACAGCAGTTGATGGCTGTGAGATCGTTTCACCGCATCAGCCCCAGAATATCTTATTTTTAAAATCCAGAACCCCACCACGTTTCTGTCCAGTTTTTTTAAAGGCCCGTGGTGACGACACAGTCGTTTGTTTTGGCGCCGTGGTTGCCTCCAGGCCCAGGCAGCAGTCGAAACCAGCAGAATGCCTTCAGCCCCCGCGAGGTGAGAGACCGGCGGCATATTAAAAGGCGGTGACGTCAACGCCTCCCGCTTCTTTCAATCACTCCGCCACCAACGTACGGCCGAAAGATCATTTATCATTTCCCCGGTACCTTCATTATCACGTGTTTTTTTGTGGTTTTTTTTTTTAAAGAAAAATACTTTCTTTTTGCGTCCCGTTTCTTATCAAACGGCGTGCTGCTGGAGAGCGGCATCACAAGAACGCGGAGGAGCCCCATTCCGTTTCCTGGAGTGATGATGAGCTTACTGGGGCACCTCCCCCCCCCCTCTAACAAGCGTCCCGGCCGCGATGCCCGACAATAACAACAGTCGTGGGAAATCGAAAAAGCTGACGACTGGCGGCCTGGCGACGGGCATGGAGTATGAACGGCGGCCTAAAGTACCGCCGACCGAGGAGGCCTGAAGGGCGGGGCTGCGCAACGGCTCATTCTATGGACACGATGACAGTGACGCGCAGAGCAGCGTCGGCGCGGCGGTACGGGACGGAGCAGTTCTCAGGGGACTGCTTGCTTGCTGGAGCCGGGGCCGGCGCGTGTTTCCTTAGCGAGTGAGGGAAGCGGCCCGTCACGGACGTGTGGACGCGAGCAAGAGGGGCGCGGCAAGGCGGCGCGGAAGAGAGGTGGGGGAAGAGGGGCGACTTCCTTCCGTCGACACGGACACGCTGCCCGATAGGGCATCTTAGACACATTCTGCCGCCCCTTCCTGCTCCTCCTATTCCCACACGAGTTCCAATTCAAGCCGAACGCGACGTGCACATATGCGGGCTAAATCTGTAAATTAAATCTATTCGGTCGGTATGCTTTGCGATCGTGGCGCAAATGGCCCACATGTTTCCCGTGCGCAGGATGGGGCTCTGATCCGACTCTCCTCGGCTCGCGGTAACGCCGGCCGCGCGGCGGCTCGCGGCAGCTGGTCGGCGCTTGGCTCCCAAGGACCGCGACAGGTGTGGTGCCCCCCCCC